ATTCTAAACATTTATTTATGCTGTAAGTACACATTCCTAGTGCTTATTTTAAGTATTATAGATTCCCTTCCACTCACTTGAAAAACACCCATTTTTTGTTATAATCTCCACATTTACTGAGATTTGTATTATTAGGATTTATGATATATTGAATTAAAAAGCAACATATTTAGGGCTATACTTTTGAGAAATTAACTTTGGCAGTGAGATAATCCTGATTAAATTTCATAGTAGATCAATTATGTCTAACAACTGAGAAAAAGCAGTCTGTCTTCAGAAGCAAATAAGGGGAATAATTGACTTTTTTTTTTTTTTTTAATTACAGGACTATGTTTAGGAAAATAAATGGATTTTGCTAGGGCCCAGATTTTAAAGTACTATATACATTGTATGGCTAAAACCAACTTTCTAACTTGTTATACTCACTTTGACCATCTTTTGTGTCTATAGATCAGGATTAAAAGCCTTAAAATACAGTTGACCTTCTACATCCTTGGATTCAACCAATTGTGGATCAGAAATATTAAAAACTAGTTCACTTGAATTGAACATGTTCAGATTTTTTTCTTGTCATCATTCCTTAAACAATACAGTTGTTAAAAACAACTTTTTACATAGCATTTATGTTGTGTTATTATAAGTCATCTAGAGATGATTTAAGGTATACAGGAGGATGAAGTGGCTTATATGCAAATGCTACATCATTTTATTTAAGGGATTTGAGCATAAAGAGGATTTTGATATCTGGGAAAGGTCCTATAACAATTCCCTTCAGATACTGAGGAATGCCTGTATATTGACACAATTTTTTTTTTAAAGAGAGAATTTTTAATATTTTTTAGTTTTCGGTGGACACAACATCTTTATTTTATTTTTGTGTGTGTGGTGCTAAGGATTGAACCCAGCGCCCTGCGCATGCCAGGCGAGCGCACTACGGCTTGAGCTACATCCCCAGCCCATTATATTTTTTTTCCTTTGTATAATTCCCATTTCTTTCTTGGGTCTTTTAGCTTCACAGTGAAGAGGGGATGCTTAGATAGATTGCTTTTACTGCAGAATGTAAACTTATCTAGGATTATTCTGGCAGGTCAGAATCTTCTTTTTAATCTTCTTTTAACAGGAGGTACTAGAGAGATCTGACAACATAGACTTAAATCTGGTTTAATGGTGCTTACCACTAAAGTTGTTATGTTTTCAGAGAGCCTTATTATTGCTCTTGACTACAAAGTTTATGAAGGAGTAGAAATTTGAAGAAGTAGAGAGTAATGGACTATGAGAATATGGGAGACAAAGGAATTTAGATGAATATTTTAGTTTTATGAAGTGAAGATAATAATAAATAAAACTATTCTGTCTACATCAATCAGTTGCCTATACTTTTTATGGACCTATTCTGAAACCACAAAGATGCCATCACTGTGTGTTTTCTTGCTCTTTTTAAAATTAGTTCTTTTTCATTTCTTATACTGTGCTCTCTAATGTAGCTATTTAAAAATCAGAGATATAATTTCCAGGATCAAAAATATATCCTTGGGTGTGGATATACATTTGTTAGCATACTTTGTTTCTGGTCATTTCTAAAGTGGACCTGAGCTTCTCTTGAATTATTGATAAGAGTTGCTTCTTCTCTTCTCCCTCCTCCCCATTTTCCTCTCATTTAGATTAATTAAGCCCTGAAAAATTACTAGAAGATTATTGAATGTGGTGGATGAAATAATTGAATTTGGCTTTTCCCTGGAGAGGATGATGATAATAAGGTGCTTACAGTGTGTCATGCACTGTTTTTAGTCTTTTCTTCACAACAACAATATGAAATAAAACCTATTATTATTCCGTTGCATGCATGAGGAAAGGTTAGAATAGCTGTGATTTTTGGCAGGATTGTTATTGAGTTATTTTTATACTACACACATATATATATCCTTATGTGTATTATTCATAAGAAGGAAATAACAATAAATGGATAAAATCAAAGTGCTAAAAGGGAGGGTTTTTTTCCTTAAGGAAAAAAAAAGGTGCACAAGTGACATGGTTCTATTTTAAATGCAGTAAAACTAGAAACAATGTAGTGATAAATATTTAAAAGTGTTATATACAATATTTTTTTATGCTCCGATCAGAATAATGGGCAATGTTTTCATTGGAAAGATATGTTTTAAAAAATGGTAAGTAAAAAGACCTCACAAATTTATATCCACACTGACAGTTACAAAAATGTAATGCATGGCACTTCACAACAAATATTTTTATCTCTTTTTATGCAATGTTGAGAAGATAACAGGGCAGTCAGAATAAGAGTGCAGCAGGTGTGTTCTGGAAAGAAGAGATGGCTGGTTGGGTAATGGAAACAGTATATTTTAAGAAGACTGTAATTGAACTATAAAAATAATAAAGTAAAGGTGAATTGAAGGACACTCTGCAAAGTGGACTATATACTGCGTTAAATGTTCCAGAAGATCTTCAGGAATAAAATTAAGTTCCCTAGAAATGGAAAATCTCCCAGAAAAGCATTTCCCCAAAGTGCTTGGGTACATCATTGTTTATAAAGGTTAACAGGTGTTACCTGTAAATAAAAGCACAGAGAAGAAAATTTGGGAAATGCTAGTTTTATAAAAATTAAAGATTCTTCTGTGTGGGGTTCATTAGCACCTCTAACAAGCATATTCCAGGTGAGTGGGGTGGAAGCAGAATATTGAGTGCATCATTCCATAGACTTGGTTGCCTGAGACCACAGAATTGTTTGCTTCTTATTACAGGAATAGCATTCTTTGAAATGTATATTAGGAAACATTGTGATGTTACTGGAGGTGTCCATGAACAAAGGTGAGGGTTGTGCATAGCAGGTTACTAAGCTATTCAGTAGCTTGAGGTAATAAGATAAAATGTATCTTAGCAGAAATAGTCCATGAGTGATGACTGGGAGTTTCCTGGAACCATACATATTTTGAGTTAATAATCCATGAAAATAAATTCTACTCAATATGAAAGTAATTTTTGTTTTTTAATATCAGAAGTATGCTGTATGGGAGAATAGTCAAACTTGAGAATGTATTTGATTTGGTCCTACTCTGTTAGGATAAAAGGTAGCATATAGCTCTTAACTGATTTTAAGGAATTGGCAGGTTATATTTCTATTTAAGTATAACCTGATGGAATTTTCTATAATCTTATCTCCCACTCAGTCTTTACTAGCACTACCAAGGTCAAGGTTGCCAATAAACCTCTAAAGATGAGTAGATCAATGGCCACATTCTGTTTTCAGTTTAGTGTAGCTCTTTGCACCTTCTGGCTCTGTTGTCTCTCATCTCTCCTGGAAACTGTCTTCTCTATTGGCTTCCATGACATTGCACTTGCATGGGCTTAGTCCTCTTAGACTGGTACTTATCAATTCACTTTGCAATTTCCTCTTCTACTGACTTCTGAATGTTTTGCACCCTGGGGCTCAGTTTTTTATGGTGATGTCATCTTTTTAGGTGATGTCCTTTAGTCTGTGACTCTCTCTCTACATGGTGATAATACCCAAATCTATTTTCTTTAAACACTAAACGTGCTCAAGCCGTGGATATCTGCTTTATCCTTAACTGCATGTCAAATGATTTACACATCATCAAGCTTAATGTGTCCAAAATGAAATTTTTATTATCTCTACTTCCCAGCTTCTTTAGGAAAAAAAATTTTTTTTTCAATGCTGGGGATTGTACCCAGGGCAAGCCCATGTTAGGTGAGCACTCATTCACCAAGTTATATATCATTATATATGATATAATGATATATATCCCCAGTTCAACTTATTTCTTACTTACTCTTTGTATGTTAATGGTATTGCCATCTTTCCTGAATTTTTCTCTTCAATCTGACTCTTCCACTTTTTTTTAGTTATACATGACAGTAGAATGTATATTTTGTTATTTAAAAAAAATTTGTTCTAATTAGTTATACACGACAGTAGATGTATTCCACTTTTATTTACCCTTCTGCTATTGTCACCAAAGCTAACATAATCTCTAACTGGAATTACTGCAATTTTCTTTTCCCTGATGCCTCCTCTACACCCCCCCCCCCCCACACACATACCTTTTCCACTTCATTTTACTTTTCTACATAAGTCATCTTTTTGGAATATAATTCTCATCCTGACACACATTTTAAAGCTTTTTAATAGTCTTATTCATGGCTTACAGGGACCTACACAATTCTGTTCTTTTCCATTCTTTCCTACTTCATTTTGTACAGTGTCCTCCTTGCTCACTGTGCTTCAACCACTCCAGCCCATTTATAGTCCCACCAACGTGTCATTACTCTTTTATTTGGAGCAGATTCCAGCTTATCCTTTGCACAGCTGGCTCCTTCTCATTGTGCAGTCCTTCACTGACTGCCCATGGTAGACTTATGCACCCATCCTCCCTACTTTGTCATTTCAAAGCACTGAATGAAATAAGAAAATGCAAGTGACTGAATTCTGAGCTGAAAATATCCACAGATGTAGAGTTTATTTTTATTCCTTCATATTTCTTGTATATTCTGAATATAGTTGAACTCACAGTAGTCAATGCTTCATTTTAATACATATTGATTCAGTCAGTGCTAGGGTAGAGATGAATACATTTGCAGTTCAGTGGAGTAGATATTACAATTAAGGTTTCTCAGGCACACCAAATACAGTATGGTATTTTTTTAAGGGGTGGCTCTGAAGGGCTATGATTTGGGCTGGGTCTTGAAACATAGCCACCTTCATGAGGCAGTGGTAGAATATTCATATTAAAGTGCAGTGGGAACGAGATGTTAAGATAGGTGAGTATTACAGGTTATTTCACAAGTATATTCCTAAGATAGCCATTTGGTTCCTGAGTTTGAGTAGGCTGTAATAAAGAATAACATGGGAAACACAGGGTGTGAGACTATAGATTTGGCAAAACAGAACCTAAATAGAGAACCCTGCATTATGCTAAGGGTTCCACTTCAAACAGCCACTGGAAGATTTTAAGCAAAGAGCCATGGGATTAGTTTTTCAGAAAAAAAAATTTATTATGGTGACAAGGTAAAGGAACCATTTGGGGACTATGAAAATCATGGCAAAGAAGCAAGTTTAGAGGCTTAGTTTCTAGATAAGAAATAATGAGGGAGTGAATAGATAAGTGGAAGAGGGAGGAAAGGGAAATTCAGGAGATTTAAAAACCACAGGCACACACTGGTAGGAAGAGGGGAGATGATTTCCAGATTTCTTCTGGTCTGAGGAACCTATGTACACACTGGTAGGAAGAGGGGAGATGATTTCCAGATTTCTTCTGGTCTGAGGAACCTACGTACATGGAAGTGCTGTCCACTAAAGGGAACTGCTGGTGAAGAATACCTTAACAAAAAAGATGGTCCCTTTTGAAATGTTTGAGTTTGAGGGTAATGGTAGGATACATATTCTGATAGGTAGGTATTCATGGTACTTACTAGAGATCTGCATCTATAACTCATGAGTAAGATCTGGGTTAGAAAAATACAACTCAGCCAAAAGCTATTAGTATATTTTGTAGTCAACATACAAGTAGTTAAAACCCCAGAGAGAAGCCACAGAGGGAGAAACACATCCAAGGATTGAACTCTAGGGAAGACACATTTTAAGCAGATGTTAGTGAAAGACAAGGCTTACACAGTTGTAGGAAGATGATAGTGCTGACTTTAAAAAAGGAGAAGATAACCCAGAGGTAACATATACCAGAGATCATCATGTTAATGATGACGAAGTAATGGTCCCTCCTCCATCACAAGCTAACTCGTTCTTGTGATGACAGACTGTACTCCCAGCCCTATCTAATTGTTTTGAAAATATTTGGTCCTGAAGGGAAGGGATGAGTATGTATGACTAAATCAAATTGACTGCTACCTCTGGTAAAATCAATTCAGTATACCAATGTATTGGGAAGGTAGTATATTTTCATGTATACTAATAAACTATATTTCTTTTCTAAATACAATATAGATTTTAAAGCTCTATATTTGGTGAAATTTAATTGCCTATCACTGATAGTTAGCCTACTGATAGTTTACAGTTGTTTTAAAGATAGCCTTTAATGGAATGTCTAGTACAATAGATACTGTAATTAAAGGAAGAACATTTTTGATACATTTTGGTCCTTAGCTTTGATTAGGCTATGAAGAATGCACTGACGCTAAATTAACTCAGAAGATACTGATTTAAACCAGGTGCAGTAGTGCACACCTGTAATCTCAGTGACTTGGGAGTCTGAGACAGGAGGAATGCAAGTTCAAGGCCAGCCTGGCCAACTTAGTGAGACCCTGTCTCAAAAAGGGTTGGGGATATAGCCCAGTGGTAGAGTATCCCTAGGTTCAATCCTCAGTATGGCACAAAACAAAATTTACATTGTAAAAGTCAAAATGCTGATTTGAAAAAAATTAGTGAAACATATAACTAAACAGACAAGGTATCCATGCCTATAGAAATGTATTGATTTCTATGAGAAAAAAAAAGGTTGAAATATAAATACAATGTTGTTTGGTGACTAATCTTACATCAGTGGTGGTGAGAAAAAACTTTTTTGCTTTTTTATCTTCAGGGTCTTAGTCTGGATGCTATAAGTAAAATTTAGCTATCAGTGAGGGTCTGTGACATAGGGACCAGAGACAAGTATGTATAACTGCAATAAGGACCTAACCATGTAGCTGAGGACAGTGACAAAGACTTGACAACATTATTTTTTCCTCTGAGGTAATTGGTATGAGGGATTATATGCTTCATGAAAATGGAGTTTGAAATGTACAGGAAGGCTATAATATTTTTTATTTGAACCTGCAGGTTCTCCTGAAAAGAAAGGTGAATATCCATCCATGAATCAAGAAAATAGCACCAGAAACCCTATCAAGAATGGAAAAGCAAGTCCAGTATCTAAAGATCAGCGGGTTGGAAAGAAAACCTCAGAGAATTTATCAGTACGGGGTCATGTACAAAAGGGGAATGATGACTCTGAAAGTGATTTTGAGTCAGATCCCCCTTCTCCTAAGAGCAGTGAAGAGGAAGAGCAAGACGATGAAGAAGTTCCTGGAGAACAAGGAGATTTTAATGATGATGATACTGAACCAGAAAATCTGGGTCATAGGCCTCTCCTCATGGACTCTGAAGATGAGGAAGAAGAAGAGAAACACAGCTCTGATTCTGAGTATGAGCAGGCCAAAGCAAAGTACAGCAGCGTGAGCCCTGTCTACAGAGACAAATCTGGCAGTGGAACAACCCAAGATCCTAATGCAGCACTCCTTGCCCTAACACATGTATCCTCTGATGTTGGGAGGGAGACTCCCAAACAAGAATTTGACGTATTTGGTGCTGTTCCCTTCTTCGCAGTGCGTGCTCAACAGCCCCAGCAAGGAGAGAATGAAAAGAACCTTTCTCAACAGATGTTTCCTACTGTAGGACTAGAGCAAGAGGAATTTGATGTCTTCACTAAAGCACCCTTCAGCAAGAAGGTGAATGTCCAGGACTGCCCTGTAGTGGGGTCTGAGGCACATGCTCTTCCTGGTTGTCCCAAAAGTGTAGATATATTTGGCTCCACTCCTTTTCAGCCTTTTCCCACATCAACAAGTAAAAGCGAAAGTAAGGAGGACCTTTTTGGGCTTGTGCCCTTTGAGGAGATAACCGGAAGTCAGCAGCAAAAAGTCAAACAGCGCAGCTTACAGAAACTGTCCTCTCGCCAGAGGCGCACAAAGCAGGATATGTCCAAAAGTAACGGGAAACGGCATCACGGCACACCAACTAGCGTGAAGAAGACATTGAAGCCTATCTACCGCACTCCAGAGAGGGCTCGCAGGCACAAGAAAGTGGGCCGCAGAGACTCTCAAAGCAGCAATGAATTTTTAACCATCTCAGACTCCAAGGAGAACATCAGTGTTGCACTGACTGATGGGAAAGACAGAGGGAGTGTCCTACAACCAGAGGAGAATCTGTTGGATCCCTTTGGTGCCAAGCCCTTCCATCCTCCAGACCTATCATGGCACCAGCCACATCAGGGCCTGAGTGACATCCGTGCTGATCACAATACTGTCCTGCCTGGGCGGCCAAGACAGAATTCACTACATGGGTCATTCCATAGTGCAGATGCGTTGAAAATGGATGACTTTGGTGCAGTGCCCTTTACAGAACTTGTGGTGCAAAGCATCCCGCCACATCAGTCCCAACAGTCCCAACCAGTTGAATTAGACCCATTTGGTGCTGCTCCATTTCCTTCTAAACAGTAGATACTTCTGATGGATTCTTGGCATTATTCCTGTTTCAAAAAAGTATGAATAGTTTTATGAATTTGAAGAAAATTTATTTGTATAGCTCTTTATATCATTCATTCTTACAGGTCAGTGAGGATAGGTGATTTTTAAATAAACCAAATAGAAAAAGGAAGTATCTCTACAGGGTAGTAACTTGATGCCTCTTCAAAGCAGAAAAGGGAGCTAAATTGAAAGCTGCACCCAAGCGTTTCTGCTACTGACATCACAGTATGGAAATGCAAAGTGTGGTACTTCCAATGAAAGCACATGGCACCTTTCCATTCCAGGTGTGTAGACACTGAGAAGGGACAGTAAAGCTGTATCATTATTTTTGACATCACAGTGTCACTTATGTGCATATCCCAGGCTCATTCCAGATCCAGCATTTAAAACTAGGCTCCTTTGTACATACATTGATTGTGTTTATGAATTTTATGGTCTTTCTAATTTTCACACAGAAAATAAACAAGCAATCTAGCTCTCCTTAAGAATTAGGAGGATCTTATCTGGAGAGTGTAGAGACTTTAGTTCATACACGCTTCTCTACAAAGCAGAGCCAGAAGAAACTGACTATTGTGCCTAAAACTCTGTTTATTTTAAAAAATAAGTGCCATTAATATGGGATATCTTATGATAATTATGTGAAATAATGTATGTTAATTAGTTCAATTTAGCTCTTCTACAATGTATACAAATTTTGAAACATGTACATGATAAATATATATAATTTTTATTTGTCAATTAAGAAATTTTAGAAATATGGAGTATCTAATTGAAACCTAGAGCAAAACTGTAAAGAGACATATCTGGCATTTGAAAAATGTAGAAGACATGAATGTTATGTAAGAACAAAAAAACATTGAATACTTTAGAAACACTATTGTTTTCAAATGGCTTCTTGCCAAAACTTTAATCATGTCCTTAAGGAAGCAGATAATTGAAAAACAAACAAACAAAAATATAAAAAAACTGGGAGTGAGGACAAGGGTTATATAGAAATTTTATTTCAGGAAAAACAAATGTGGCTGAACCCCTGAATTTTTAAGATGTTTACAATGTAAAATCATGTTGTATTTCATAATGTACTTTGTTAAATTACCACCTTCATCAATATTCCCCAAGTCATGAGCAACAGTTATTTTACTTAGGTTAAGACAGTGGAGTAATTTTAATAAAGTGCACAGAACAATGACACCCTCAAAGCCTTATAGGCAGGACTTGTGCATCCTGCTACAAGTACCTCTGCATTAACACACCAGATCTTAATATGGATATAAGGTATTAGATGATGAGGGACTAGCATCTTAATTCTGCTAGCTGATTGTGTCTCTCGTGAAAAGAGCCCAGCTACCAAATTGCCTTTTTTCTACACCATAAATCCTAATTAGAAACTTGAGATTTTATAGAAATCATGTTTAATGATAATAATGACATATGAATTAATGTGAATATCTATCTAAGCTTTAAGTTATAATTAACTCTTCCCTCTCAGATTAACATTTGTAAGTTTCTAGGACAATTATGAAAAGGAATGGAAATTCATCAGCTAGCACTTTCTTTGGTTGCTCTTTGCATCCAATTAAAGTGTATTTTATGAGTAATTTTATGAGTAATCTTAAAAGACTATCTTAATTATAGTGCCCCACTAGGGTAAATTATTTGCCTGTTTTCACAGTTCTGCACTTGGAATGAAGCAAAGCATATGTAACTAATCCACATTTTTTATTGCTTTCTACATGCTAAATTGGATAGAAATTGATGAATGTGGAAGCAATATGTGAATCACAATGTAGCAGAGGCAGACCAGGCATTACATTACTATTTACAGTTGTGCTTCTAGAGCTGGATTGCACCAATTACTTATCCTTGTGCCAAAGGCAAATATTATGTTTGCACCTTTTTTTCTGATTCTCAGGTTGATTAATACTGCTAATGCATATGTGAAAGTAGATGTTCTTTTAAACTACAAAATAGATTCAAGTGATACTTTCTTTTAAAAGTGAAGAGTAAATTCATGAGCTACAGTAGGTTTGTATCAAGATTTTTTTAAAAAAAGGAAATCTGTTGGATAATGTGTTCACAATATGTTCTTTGACTATTTAGTCTTCCATCTCTTGATCCTCATTAGCTCATCTTTTAGAAGGGTAGTAAACTAATATGGTCTCCTTCAGATGTAAACATAAAATACGTAGTTTTATTTTGCTCTTCAGTACACTGAATAATGTAAATGATTCAGACAGTGATGAAACCCTTTGGCTTATAATGTTGGACAGATTTCCAAGGAAACAATTCTGCCCTGGCTTAAAATATTTACATTCTTGTTTATTATAGCATAGTTTGGTGACTTTCCTCTTTTGAGATGGTAGGTAGGAGGAAAAAATTAGGATTCGATTGGGGAATCCAATGGAATAAAAATGGGAAAATTCCTTTGTGTTGAAGTAAGAGGCATTTTTCCAAGGAGCAGAAATTCATACTTTTCCATTTTCATTGATCATCTTCCCCACCATAATCAACTGATGCCCAGGTTAATTCCCTGATAAGAATTAAATTCCCAAGGCACATGGTAGCATTTAACATAGTACCTGGCACACAGCACTCAGTAGAAGTTTGGTTCTATTATGGGGTGGTCAAGTTCTGATTTAAGGAAGTTAAAAGAAAAGTATAATCCTATTACTATTTGGCTGTGCCTTGTGCTTCTAAGGATGCAAAGTAGTTATAACTCTAAACCTGCTATACTTGAACATCACACTAAGGGAAGTAACACAAAAAGCTAGCAAAATTCTGAGGCCAAAGTTGTTTCCTAACAGCTTTAACAGTGCTTGTTGATTCTGAATCATCTTTTTAAAAGTGGACCATTTGCCTATTTTAATATCACTTCAATAAAATGTTAGTATTAAAAAGATCAGTTTTTATGACATTGAAGAATGTATCTGCTAAAACAGAAAAACTGGTATATATATATATATGTATATTTATACATAAATATACATATATATTTATATATATAAACTAGGTGGAGGAAGGGAAGTTGCAGGCTAAATGAAATGTAACTGATTAGAATATTTATTCAGAAGTGGTAACACTCATTTGTCATCCTTGGGTATGTGTATTTGGGCATAGTTATAACATTATCTAGATTTGCTGATACATGCACCTTTCAGTCCTACCCTGTTTACTGTGTAACAATGATAGACTATTTTCTTTTTGCTGGTGGAACATACTAAGTTGGAATCCACTCTTCTTTGTTGGTGTTCATCAGAACAGTTTCTTACTACTCAGCTCTTCTGCTAAGTTTAAGTTCTGGTACTTCACATAAGCACTGTCAGAAGGTACAAGTGTATTTAATCACTAGTTCTGAGGAGTTTGGGTACATTTGTTTATATATAGAATGTGCAGTGAATTTTTTCATTTTTTTCTTTTTAGCAAAACTACTCTTACCATTTTAGGTCCAATTACTGAATAGACAGTCTACTGTGAGGATGAGATGACATATCTACTGTGAGAATAACAATAATTATTTGAGAACTTTTATACTCAGTGGTGTTTTATATATTAAGATATAATTATATACACATGCATGAACATCACATCTCTCTACTGTGGAGTTAATGTGAATTTTTAAAAAATGGAATTGCAACCACAATCATAGCTAAAAGAACATTCACTCCTAGTGAAGGTTTACAAAAGCCACTAAAAGAATAAAGTAAGTGAAAATGCAAAGGGTCACTTGGGGTTTTGTTTTATTTTAAAATTTATAGTGCTACTTTTGAAAGAGAATTGTTTTTATTACTATGCTCTTTTGTGATCAAGAAGTCATCTAATAGCAGTATAAGAAGCTACTTTTTTTAATTGCTGGCAAACAGCTTTAAGTGCACTTTCTTTGATTACACTTCCATTTTTGTTAAACTTGAATTTTCTGAAGCCTTTTATGTACCACTAAGCAAATAACTTTAACCTTTAAAAAAAACGGATTACATCATTATTGTATTTCTAGTAGTTGTAAAACATACTTGCTAAAATAACTTCAGTCCTCAAATGTAGCTGGGAAACTTGTGAGACAGGATTGGTTATCCCCCCTCCCATATCTAATTAAGCACTAACTAACTTTATGACTTTATTGCCTTTATATTGCTTATTCTTGTATTCTGTCCCTGATACACTTTGTTTTGTTTGAAATTTGAAGTTATTTTCTTACTGTATTTATCATACCTCTTTTAATAATCTGCTTTCTTTAAATGCAATAAATTAAAAATGGATTACCTATTCTTTATAATCAGTGACTTTGGAGTTTTTCATTATTGTCTTATTAAAATATTGGATATAAACTTCTATTGAGTTCTTTCATTTATACCATGGACCTTTAAACATCTATTGTGTACCAGCAAAATAATATAAAAATAAGACTGTTCTTAAGGAGCCTTTATGATTTAAGTAAGAAAATACATTTGACCTAAATTTTTTACAATAAAAAGAATATAGCACCATTATTTTAATCACTTACTGACACTTATACTGATGATGGTAAGGCAGAAACATGAGACCTTGAAAATACCTTTAGGATAACTTGTTTGGCATAGTTTTTACATTATTTCTACTTTTTAAAAAACTATTAAAAGCCTGCTAACATATATAATTGTTAAAAATCTTTTGAATATTTTGGTCTTTGACTATGTCCGAAAAGCAGTTTTGGAACATTAATGAGGAAAACATGGGGTTGATGAGGAAAACAAAGGCTTGGTGTCAAGGTTGTGGTATTATAATGTAATGTCCCCCAAACTGGAGTCTAGATTGGTGGCTTATGACAAGTTTCTCAACCAAAAACAAGATTCATCTTACTTTGTACTTTTTTTTTTGAAGTAGTAACATTCATTTCAAGTTATGTGGAAAAATAAGGGCTTTTGTATCTTCTTAATGAATAGTGCAAAACACCATAGTATCACAAATGGAGAGAAAGTTATATTAAAAAGTTCGTATCACTGTTCAAATTGTTATAGTTAACCCCTTATGGTGCAACTTGAACTGTTTGGTTTGAATAGTTCCTTTTTCAGGAAGCCGAGCTTAAGCTTCATATGTAGTTAATATTCTCATATTAAAAGTTTGAACTCTAGCACATGCATGCTAGGTAGTGTTTAATCCTACATTTGTAGAGCAAGATGAAGGCTTTTGTGGCTGTTCGTTTCAGGCATGTGAGTATACAGAGGTTCACTTTTCATAAGTGGGCCATACTATTTCTATCTCCCTTCAAAAAGTGTTCTTTTAAGGTAGTTTCAATTCTTGATCATTACCTTACTACAGTACAGAAGTATGGTATCAAATTTCAGGGGAGCTCAGTACTCAAGAACATCTATACCTCTCTTCAGTATAAACATGATTATTGTGATAATGCAGATAAAATATACTTCTGCCTCTCTTCTAATAGCTGAGCTGATTCTTTACACACTTCTTTGGCAGGAATGGAATTACTAAGAATGATGATTTGGTGTGGATATGGACCCATTCAGCAACTGGCAGGAATGTAGAAATGCAAGCTTTGCCCCTTGACAGTTAGTACAGGGCAAAGTATATCTCTAGTAGGTACCTGCCACATGGAGAGCTGTACAGCTTTATGCCAGTCAATCACAATCTTCAAATCGTACACTCTGTCCAGGTGGGATGCCATGTGATGTGACAAGATATTCCCTGATTCTTCATTCCTGATTCTAAAATATGATTTTTAAAGCTGTTATGTATTAAAAAAGAATGACAAGCAGCACTTAATATATTTAGTAAACCCAGTTTATTTACATAATACATATTTTACCATGCAGCTTACGGAATTGCACTCAGAATAATAAACAAAAATAAACCGGCACTATCTTGCTATTTGAAAATGGCTTTATAGAGAAAGATAACTTTCTTAAACGAGTTAACTAAACTATAAAAATTGCTATGGTAACTTAAAAAAAAAGCTAAAAATAATTTTAAAATATACTTGTAAAGTCTGTAGATAAAGAGCTTTTATAATTTACACATTGGTAAAAATTAAAAGTAGTCTTTTTTAGTATTGTAGCTGGAAATTATACTTTTAATTAACTAATAACAAAAAATAACTTACATATACATTATTACAAGGCTCAGATTTCTAGGCAACTTTTAAATATTCTTTAATGTTAACAGTGTCTTAAAACATTTTACCAGTAGTACTGTGCACATAGTAGGTGGTCAGTAAATGCTGACATACATAAGTATTTATAGTTGACAGCAACCCACATTCATGTGAATATTCCTTTACAATAAATACATCATAGTAAAGATAAAAATCAGAGGATAGCTTTCTTACAATATTTAACATTTTCAGAAAACACTTAAGTATTAATAAGGAATAATTCTTCCTATAGACCTGTATGCCCTTTAAATTCAAAAAAATAATCATTTAAAAACAAAATATGCTCTTTTTTAATGTATTAATTTGGGTGGCAAGTATTACATAATTCATACACTATGTAAGATGGGAATTTTTTTTAAAAATTAAACTTAAAAGGTTATTTTTTAGAATATTTTATTGGAAAAAAATGATTCCACACCTAAAATAACTGGACTTTCCCCTCATTTTTAACTTGATGATAACTACTTAGTGTATTTCATTTGGATGAAATGTCAATTTAGAAGCAGTAGTATTATGTAAGCCAATAAAGGATGTTTTAGGGGAAATATGTCCTATTTACACCAAAATCTCCTATTACTTAGTATATAAATCACACTGTGGTCTATGAGATACTATAGCCATTTTCAAAATAGCATTCCACCATAATAATGAGTATGATGTAGCATGCCCTTACTGGGCCCACTAGAAGAAAATTCTCCTTGCTGAGATACCAACATGGAAAATGTATATTCCAAAATCACTACACTGGAAAGGAACAACATTTTACAGATGGATAAACTGAGGCACATTAAAGTAACTTTTCTAATACTAAATGTAAAAAAGGCATATTGGGAATAAGATTCAACATCAATGAACATTTTTCTAGATATCCAGTCAGTTCTATCTTGAAAACATACCAATATTTAAAACAGTTTGTCAACTCATTAAGAAATGTTGGTAATAATTTATAGTCTAACAACAATTTTTTACGTATGTCTGCTTTAAGAGATTTAATTTATGCATATGAAATGATCAATGAACGAACGGCAACAACTGTATTAGTAAAACTATTTTTTTAAGTATAAACAATGACAAATTTAATGCTTCATGTCCAAATTGTATTCATTTTTAATTTTTTTGGTATTGGGGATTGAACCCAGAGGCACTCTACCAGTGAGCTATATCTATATCCCCTGTTCTTTTTATTTTTTATTTTGATACAGGGTCTCACTAAGTTGCTTAGGACCTTGCTAAATTGCTTAGGTTGGTCTCAAACTTGTGATCCACCTGCGTCAGCCTCTCTCGAGTTGTTGGGGTTACAGACATGCACTGCTGCATCCAGCTTCAAGTCCAAATTTTAGATGGTGAATATAAACATTTTATCAATGCAATGTTAACTTACGCATAAGCTGAAGACTAAAGCACAATCCTCATCAAGTGGGGCATCAGCATGACTTTATTCTAAGGCTTAAGGTTCAGTTCAGGGTCAAATCAGGGCCATGTAAATCTTATGGCCTTGAAAGTAGCACCCATATAGCTGGGAGTCCTCATCATCAAATTTCTTTTAGAATTTTGGGATCAAAATCTTCTATAATCCACTTGCAAGAATTCAATTATGATATGGAATTAAATAAACTCTGGAATTAAAAGGCTTGAGTAATGATTTGATTATTAGATCATGGAATTTGTTGCTTAATCATGTCCTTAGTTTCTAATGTGATTCTTCGCTGATAAAAAGTAACATTGCATGTTCATTTCCTCTTCTTAATACCTCCCTTAAAGAAGAACTCTTGTTCTGATGAACTGAAAATTCCTAATGTTTCTAAGGAGAGAACCTGTGGCTAAAGGAAATAATATTTTAAGTGCCAGATTTTCACAAACCATGTATTTAAAGGCTATGATTACTCCAAATCACTATCTTAGCTTGTATTAAACATAGGCTGTAACAAACGTCACCTTGATTAGGCACTTAAATTTGACGATTTAACGAAAATACCTTCTATTAAAGCCATCACACAGGATGACTCCATTTCAAATGGAGATGAGCCCTTCCTAAGGAAATTAAGCTGGTGTCAAGTAAACTGAATCCTATTTCTACAATGGTTTCACATTCATTGTTACCATTCAGATTATTTGTTATGATCGCCAACTAATTCTCATTTTCTATATAAGCAGCAAATTAGTAGTTTTAAGGGTCTACAAAGCAGTTATTACTACAGATCCCTAGGTATATTTTTCCATTTTTATAAAGCATTACCCATGATACCTTAATCAAGAAGAAAAAGAAAAAGATGAATGGGAACCTTAGAAATAGTGGGGTATACAAGTCCCCATTTTATATTGCTTAACAACTGAATTCACCAGGTGGCCATACCTGAATTCTTCACAAATGTGAAACATAGTCAGGACAAGGCTTGCTATGTCTGTACTGCATGACATAGACTGTTGACTGATGCCACCAATATAACATCACTACTGCAAGGATATGCCATATTTGGTGGCTAGATCCGAGGTAGTTTAGTTGTCCTAGAAGGAAGGTAGAAAGAAATTAATACTGATTGTACTATTTTGATATTAAAAGAAAATAAGTTTCTGGGGCTGGGTTGTGGCTCAGTGGTAGAGTGCTTGCCTAGCATGTGTGAGGCACTGGGTTTGATTCTCAGTACCACATAAAAATAAATAACTGACAACTAAAAAAATATTTAAAAAAAAAGAATTTTCTAATCTTCAGGCTTGGAAATATGGCTTAGCAGCAGAACATTTTTGTTAGTCTCAGTGCCTGGAGATCCAAGTTTTGTTTTTGTTTTTTTTAAGGATGAACACACATTTGGGTTTCTAATTTTAAGGTTTTATCAAGAACACAAGTAATTTTTAGAAATGATATTCACAATGTATTTTTAAAAATCTAACTTGTAATTTTCAGGAATTTGACCTTTTGCCTCCCATGTCTCAATTCCTATCTGGTGTAATGGGAAAAAAAAAAAAAAAAACTGAAGAAATGAGGGTTACAAATCAGCGAGTAATTTAGGTATGAATCTGTGAGTAGGAAATGCACTGTTGTGTTTAGATATGAACCTGTTAGCAAATGCACTGTTGTGTTTAGATATGAACCTGCTAGAAGCACTTCTTTATTTTATGCATGTATGCAA